TGTTATTTAAATTTTTTTTATTTCATTTCATTTCATTTCATTTCATTTCATTTCATTTTATATTATATTATTTTATTTTATTTTATTTTATTTTATTTTATTTTACTGCTCGTTTTTGTTTGTTTGTCACATTATGTTGCTTTCAGTAATTACTCTTTATTTAAGTACCAATCGTCTCCTTCTTTCGTATGTATTTGTGTCATCATAAAATACATAAAATATGTCATAATTTAAATGTTAATTAGTACACGAGTTAGACGTATTTATAAAATATTTGTATTTTATATTATATTTTTTCGTCGCATTACATATTTTGTTTGTTAAATTTTTTATCTCTAATTTTTTATTCTTTCTTTTTTCTACGTTATTGTAAATAACTTGATATTTCGAACGACTTATTTTGCTATGTTAATTATTCGTAAACGTCAGTAATTTGAAATATTTCTTACTGAAATTTAAACAACGTTATCGTTAAAATACCAAATGAAGAGATAATACGTATTTATATTAATGAAACTTTTAATTTGGCACCTGTATTATTTTCGATAGAATACTTTTAACTCGTGTTCATTTATTCGAGTGATATTTTTGTCAGGTAACAGATATAAAGTACAGAAAAAAAATTTGTACCCTCAAATAAAAAATTAAACTCCCTCCCAAAACCTAAAAAACAAATCGTATAATTTGAATCAAAAATATTTTACCATCTAATTCTTCGTTCGATCTTCCAAATAATTCGATATATAAAAAAAAGGTGATACTTTTTGTTGCTTTAAATATAAAATAAACCCAAAAAATAAATATTAAATTTATTCCTTTAAAAATCCTACGCTTATGATACGAATCTCGTTGGGATCATATTTTCTTGTGTATATTTTCTCGATTTCAAGGTAAAATCGAAAAAGCTAAAAATTTTCGAAGAAAAGTCAAAAACTCGGCTTTAAAATTTTACCCGATAAATTTAAAAGTAAAAATCTCTATTACACTCACGACGTACTTTAACTTCTAAATTATGGCTATCTCTCGAAAGAAACGAGACCTCCTTCAGTCTCAATTCGATATTTGATTCTATCGATATCGATCTATATATACTTATCTCACAGTACGATTCCACTCAGGTCATCCTACTCGCTAAGTTTTTCGTTTCTTTTCTTTCCTTTCCTTTCCTTTCCATTCCTTATTTTTTTCTTTTAAATGGAAACTTGAGAGTGGCTTACGTTTTTTTAAATCGAGAAAACCCGAATAATATATTATACTGAAACTACTACCTAGTTTTTTTCTCATTCTCTTTTGCGTTCTATTAAAAATTCAGCTTAACTTTAAGAATTTTTGAGAACGATTTTGCTTCATACTCTTTTGAATTATATCCGCAGTAATACTTGGAATCTCATTATAGAAGTTTTCTTTTTATTTTTTTTTTTTTCAAGCAACGCGCATTTAATTATTACACTTTTGCTTTAAAATGTATCTATCTACATATGTTCAAAGGATAACGTATTAATGGTATTATGTAGAATGAAATTCTAAACTATTGGCTATTGTTCAAAGGTTGTCACGTTAAGTTTAATAAACTCTATTAATTGTTACAATGATTTATTGATAATAGATACGAGAGAAGATTACAAATTATTATGATATTTAATTGGCCGATAAATTTGTCTAAATTTTTACCGTATTATTTAATTATATTTTTTAGTATTGAATTTCTTAAAATATTACTATCATATTTTTAATATGAAATATATTTTTATAAACAATCATCTTCCAAGCAATGATTTAACAAATTGTATGTGTAAAAATAAGTCAAAGAATAAAGAAGAAATAATTTTACGTTCAAACAACCCTTCTTCTCCTGTCGTACTAGTGTTTTTCTAGTTGGTTTAACTAATAAAGATATTAACCTAATTTATTTAGTAATTAAATGATAGGGGTGAGCTAATCTTTTGGTCTAACCAAAACAGATTCTTTTAAAATGGTCATTCTATTCAAGTCGAAGATAATTTTCAATTTGTAAAAAAATTATAATTTCTTTTATTTAACTTAATGACATACTTGAAACCATTTTTATTTTTATTACAATTAGTATTATTTGTTATTCTTTGTTTCGTTTTTCTTTTTTTATTAAATTAAATTTAAGTTTATAAAACTTTTTCATTGAAAGATTATACTTCAAAAAAAAAAAAACAATAAAAGAAAAAAAGTGTATTTTATCCGCTAAAGGATATTCCTAATTGTATAATATTATTTTAATATCTGTAAGAACCAAAGTTAATATCCTAATGAAATTCTACGAAAACATTTAGTAATAATAATTCATTTTGAATCACTCTATATATCCTGTTCTTTAATCGTGCTGCAGTAAATAGGCAATAAAACTAACCATTATATATTTTATAGTACCATATATATATATACAAGTATACATAACGAATTGCACTAGCGTTCTCTATTATGTGAACATATTTCATATTTCTCTAGATTATTTTTTTTATTTATATATTTATATATATTTTTTTTTATGACACGGTATAACAGAAGCCAGTAGTGTATGAAAATACCCCACTTGCGATAGCATCGATTAGGAGAGAAAAGAGATAGTAAAAGCAATATCATTTTATATAATATCATGTGAACGTTTCTCGCACGATATCCAAGATAATGCATCATCTTTCATAAAATGTGGTTTGAAGATGATGCTTTTTGAATAGTACTTGAAAAGATAAATCGAATGAAAACAAAACAAATGTCTTTACATTTAGTATCGTGTAGTTACTCCATTTTTCCCCCTTTTTTTTTCTTATTACTACAAAATTTTATAAATAAAAATTTTCTACGCGTCGGAATCGAATTTTACTTGAATACATTTATTTGTCCGCCCTTCGTCTGTCTCCGTCTATATGTTTATTTCATTTTGATAGAAACGTAAAATTTTATATAAGATCGTTATCTCAAGATAAATTTGATATTTTGTGAACTTTACGTGTGCCACTCGTAGATTTTATATTCCATCATTGGAATCGTGAAAATTCAATTTCAAGATTGAAAGATGTTTTAGAGTTGAGTTCATTGAACCTTATTCATCCTTCTCTCTCTCTCTCTCTCTCTCTTTCTCACTCTTTTTATCTATCTATCTATCTATCTATTTATCTATCTAGGTATCTATCTTTTTCTTTCTTTCTTTTTATTCGTGAAATTGCATGCTGAATACGATGCAAACAAGTTCGGATTTTGTAGTACTAGTAATACTAGGAGCTGTTGAGATATTTTTGAAAAATCTACATCTTTTCCCATTTTCTTTTTACGCATATGTGTATACGTACATATGTGTATTATTTGTATATGTTGGTAGACGTATAAGAAGGTGATTTATATATATATATAATTCTTAGTAGAATTTAATAATATTTTTTTTTCGATTTATATTTCAATGCAAATTTTTCAACGTTTTAATAGAAAATTTAAATCACAGTTATTGTTGATTATCATCATTCTTTACAATGAAACATTTTTATAGAAGTTGCAATTATTTTTTACGATAACACGATAATATTTTACTATAACTTATTATTACAGGTACAATGGGAGAGTAAAGATTTATTTTCAGTTAGAAATAGTATAAATAAATTTATTTCAACATTTAACTGGTGATATATTTTTTAAAAATAACTCATACAAATATTCACTTGCATTAGAACGTTTTACTATGTGTTTTATTATTATTATTAAATATGAAAATAAGACATCATAATTTACGTGAAACAAACTTAAATGTATTTTTATTAAGAAAAAAAGCATTTAACTTTATCAAATTTAATTCTATCAAGACTTATTTAAATTAACTTCAAACAAATTAAATTTATACAACATTTTCTCAACAAATATTCTCACACATGTTACATAATACATTCGTTTGCATTTTAAATATCATACTCCACATTATTAATATAAACACGAAATAAAATTACATTAAAATATACTTATAAAACGTATCTTCAATAAATAAATATAAAATAAAATATTACATCTACATTGTTATAGAAATCGACCTAAAAACAAATGTATCTCCATAGATATTCGTACGAATATCATGCATATTGGCTAATAATTCTTACCACGAAACCCATCATCCTTTTTCTTCATTATAATAATAAACGAGGAACAATGAAAAATAACAAGAAATAAATAAAGAAAGAAAAATAGAGAGAAATAGTGTATGGGGGGTGTGCATATATTTTATAAGAAAAAACATTGGCTTATATAAACACACACACACATTTATATACACACTTATACAGGAGAAAAAGAGGTGTATCACCTTTTTATTTCTCCCACTATTCGATGAAGCGTGCTTATCGTCTTACCCGACGTTTTCTATAACAAACCGAGGGCCGAAGGGGTAATCGACCTAAATTTACCGGGAAAAACAGCGGATTGTAAATTACGCGCACAGGATGAGTGTACTTGACACGGCCCTGTCCCGTCAGACCGACCACGCTAGATGAAGAGAGAAAGAGACCGCGTTATTCAAGGTTACCTGCTCTTCCGCTGCGTCCTCGTTTCGAGTGGTGACAACCGAGAGAAACTGTCGCGAAGATATAAAAGCCTTCAAGAGTGAAATGTATATGCAAAACTCTCTTTCTCTTTAACGTACACAAATACACAATCGTCCTCTCATTTGTATACATACAGAGACATACACAAAAACACATATACGTTCAAACGAATATTTCAAAAGATGTCCGCATGAGAGATTATCGAATTTTCTTCGAATTATTTTTCGAACAAAACTCTCCTCTCCTGTCTTATCTTATTTTTTATTTTATTTTTAAACGATATTTTATATAATAAAAGATAATAAAAATAAATTGATGAAGGAGAAGTTTTGATCTATTTGAATTAATTAGGTTGTTAAAGAAGAAAAAAATGTCCTTTGAAGTTTTCGAAAATGTTTTCAAATTGAATTAAAAGAAATTCGTTTTTGCAAGTGTAAAAGCTTTTAAAAAGATTTTAAATAATTGCTTGTTAATCGATCTTAGCGTTCGGTGTTAGTACAGTAAATAGAATCAAATAGATAGAGAAGGCGGGTTTTAATTCGAAGAGGATTTCGTTAACCTCTTCTTACCCTTTTTGGTCTGTCTTTTCGATCAATAGGATTTGTCAGAGAAAGAGAGAGAGAGGTTGTACAAATTAATTGAGATAAGTTTTATTTCTCGTTTCAGATTATAAGAAGAAGAAGAGAAAGAAAAAGAAGATGATGAGGATCGGTCTAATGTTAAGTTACCATGACGTAAGATTTAATAGTTTATAGTTAAACTGGTTAAGAAAAAAATAAAATAAAATAAATAAAAAGTCATAGTGTTGAAGAAGGAGAAGAAGATAGAAAGAAAGAAAGTAAGCAAGAAAATAAGCAAGCAAGTAAGAGAAGGAGGTTTTTTTGGTGATAGAATGACGACGCTAACGACAGCGTCGGATCGTCCGGAGGGCTCGTTGGTAGGCGTGACGTCAGTCCTGGACTTAGCCTCAAGTGGTAACATCAGTTTTGTTAACAATGAGAACAAGGAGTCCATAAAGGAGGATCCTTGGCCAGACTTGTCCTTAACTATATTGAAAGGTTGCGTATTAGGTTGGATAATAGTGATGGCCGTGTTCGGTAATTTATTGGTAATGGTGTCGGTAATGCGTCATAGAAAATTACGTATTATAACGAATTATTTCGTAGTGTCATTGGCACTGGCAGATATGCTCGTGGCAATGTTTGCAATGACATTTAACGCTAGCGTACAAATCAAAGGTAAATGGCTCTTCGGTTATTTTATGTGCGACGTATGGAACTCTTTGGACGTGTATTTCAGTACGAGTTCGATTTTACACTTGATGTGCATATCCGTCGATCGTTATTACGCGATAGTTAAGCCACTGAAGTATCCCATCAAGATGACTAAGAGAGTGGTCGCGTGTATGTTGCTCGCTTGTTGGATATCACCGGCTATCATTTCATTCGTACCGATATTCAACGATTGGTATACAACTGTAGAAGATAGCGTACATCGACAGGATCATCCGGACGATTGTGTTTTTCGCGTTAACAAAGGTTACGCAATTGTATCCTCGAGTATTTCTTTTTGGATACCGTGCACCATTATGATGCTTACTTATTATTCTATATTCAAAGAGGCAAATCGTCAAGAAAAACAAATGCACAGTCGTTTAGGTAACGCAATGTTATTAAGCCATAGGCCAAGTAAAGATTTGAACAATCTCAATGGCGAACTGAATAGCGCCGGTTCATCTAAAACATTAACGCTTAACGAGATTAGCACGGACCAATTGCATACTCCTACAAAAGACAAGAACATGATGAAAATGAAGAGAGAACACAAAGCTGCTAGGACATTAGGAATCATCATGGGAACGTTTATACTCTGCTGGTTACCATTCTTTCTATGGTACATTATTTTCATAGCTAATCAAAAACAACAAATACATTTATCAATTTAAATTAGATAGATCATTGAATTTCGTTTACAAATTTCTCACATTTAAATTCTTAACAAACTTGTCTTAACCAAGAAAAAGTCTTGTTTAAAAAAAAATATCAATCGAACAAAATCAAACGTTAATTCTCAATGCTCAAAAATACCGAATAACAGGATACCGATTAATTTAAATGAAAGAGATGACATTTAACAAAATACGTTATAATTAATTATTAATATAAAAGAAAAAAAAAGGATAGGTATTTCTGATAATCTATTTTATAGGTACGTCATAACAGCACTCTGCCGTACGTGTCCCTGTCCGAATATCGTCATAGCAATCCTCTTTTGGATAGGATACGCAAACTCGGCGTTAAATCCGCTGATATACGCGTACTTCAATCGTGACTTTCGGGAAGCTTTCAAGAACACCCTACAGTGCGCCTTTTGTTCACTCTGCAGGCGGCAGCCTTCCGATCTCGAAGCGTTAAACTTCCGCCGGCCGTCCCTAAGGTACGATCTGGTCTGACACTTCGAGGTATGCACTTCGTTCTCTCTTTCTCTATCTCTATCTCTCTTTTTTATCTATCTGTCTCTTTCTATCTTTCTATTTTTCTATAACTCTTGGCCCATTTCCATTTCTAGCTAGACACCTCATTGCTCAGTGTGTTTTTTCTCTTTCTTATACGTTTCTTTCTTTTTCTTTTTTTTTTCTTTTCTCTTCCTTTGAAAATTTTTTCCTTTTAGTAGCCCTTTTTCTTCTTCTTCTAGCACACATTCAAAGCTTTCGTTTTTAGATTTTACCGAGAGACAAACGTCGGCATGGAAAAGCCTTCTTTTTACTATCTCTCTCTCACTTTTTATCTATCTCTATTTTTCTATATCTTTCTCTGTCTGCCTGTCTGTCTGTCTGTTTGTTTGTCTGTCTTTCTTTCTTTGTTCGTTCATTCGTTCCTGTTAGACATTGGCACCTGCTTGCAACATCAGAATCAGAAGGAGAGAGCAAACGAACGTGTTTAAATGGACGAGAAAAAAAATCTCGTTTCGTGTCACATTTTTCTTATACCAACAAACCCTAACCTTTACTAACTGCCCTCCACTCCCTTTACTCTTCCAACCCTCCTCTACTCATTAACCCTGTTAGTCCTCCCGACCGCTGTGTCAGGGATGATACGAAAGTTCTGTCACGTCGAAGTATTTGTAAAAAATCGCACTTCACTTTTTATTTTTCTTTATTATGTTTCTTTTCTTTTTCTTTGGTTTCTTTTTTGTTGTATTTTTTTCATTGCGTACTTTTGAATAGTTAATTTGCAATACATTTCGAATAAAACGAAACTTTGATCTATTCGTCGAGGCTCGTTTCTTTTTTACGTATCCTATTTTATAATTTTGTATTTCTTATTTTTTCAACACCAACCCTATTTCTTTCTTTTTTGTGTTTTGTCGTTTTTGTGGAAATATCGGACATTTTTTTGGGGTAATCTCTTTTTTGTTTTTATTTTAGTCGTATGGACCACGTGTGTGTATTATCTGTGTGTACCATTTGAAAATCGTCGAAGAAATAATATACGGGGTACAATACCTCCTCTTTTGATTTTAGGATAAACGACAGGACTTTTGAGTCAGCCGAATACACGGAAAGGGTATGAAAGATACACTCTATCAAACTGAATTAACAGCGTCAGGTACTGTGGATATAATGCAATGCACATCCTCCCCCCTGACCACACCCTCCCTTCTTCGTTTATTAATTCTATCGTATATTTGTATATATATTGAATATATTATAGTATATAAAGGATGTCCCCCCTCAGTTTCCCACCCCTTCACAAAATTTGACCAGCATATTCCATATAAGTAAAATGATTAACAAATTATTTTCCCTAATTTTTACTTATAGAATATAATGGTAAAATTTTGTGAGAGAGGAAGGAAAAAGTTAATCTAAAAAATTGACTAATATATTTAATAATATAAATATAAATATATGTAAATGTATATATTTATATATATTTATTAATATAATTAAATATGAATGTATAAAAGTAAAGAGAAAATCTCGACGGATTTGTTACTCACGAAAAATAAATGAATTTTTTCAGGCCTATCCATGTCGCACAAACACATAAATATTATAAATATGTAGTATACAAAATGCATGCTTAAAATCTCATAAAAAAGAAGTAAAAGAAAAAACTATATTTTAATATACTCTGCATAATTAAATTGCAATGATCGCATAATCATTACGCTGCTATCATTATTTACTATTACTATTACTATTTTTCACGCTATTTCTAATATCTTCTATCCGCTCTATTAAATACTTTTTTTCTAATTCGCCTAAATGTTTAAATGTTTATACCTTTTTATAAAAAAAAAAAAAAACGAATCAATCAATTGAAATTTTTAAAAAATTGTCAAACCAGACACGAAGGATCCACATGAGAACGTTGAAATAAAAATCAAAATAAAAATACAAACAATATCCTGAATAAAAAGTACTTTTCATTGATAGATCAATGATCCGTTTATTACAGGTACGATGATCGAACGAAGAGCATATACACGGAAACTTACATCATCAAACACAACGATCGTCGGAGATCGAGCGAATTCGGCAGCAGCCTTTGAGAGACTCTTTAAACTGACCCCTTTTTGACAGGTCAAACGATATCTTCTGCTGTGTTCCACGAAGAAAAAGAAAAGAAAACGAACAAAAGAAAGAAAAAACAAAGAAAAAGAAAATCATTCAACCGATTCATAAAGAAATACACCCAACTTCGTGAAACGAAACATTCAAAATAAACCAAAATTTATCGAAAGAAAAACGAGATAGTGGGAGGGTCGATGATTGAATAAAAAAAATAAATTTAAAAATTTGCGCTAAACCGAAAGATTGAAATAAAACAAAACGAAAAGAAGAAAAAGAAGAAAGAAAAAAAAAATAGAAAAATTGATATCGAAAAAAAGTAATAAAAAATGATCGTGATGAATGTATAAGAAAATTTACAAAGATGATCTCGAATAGATTATTTTTGCCTTTCTATCTATCTCCCTCTCTCTCTCTCTCTCTCTCTCTCTCTTTTTCTCTCTAATCTTTTAATCTAATTCTAATAATGTAAAATGGAAGATAGAGAAGAAGAATATTATAGATAATATCATACACTTCTTTAATCGAACATTTTGTTCCCTAAAAGCGTTACCCCTTTTACTAAGGCCTCTTATGTGTTTGTAAAAGAGTGAGTGAGACAGATAGAAAAAGATATATATATATATATATATATATATATATATATATATATATATATATAGAGAGAGAGAGAGAGAGAAGGATAGAAAGCTTTACGCGCGTTTTAATGAAACACGATAAAAGCAAGGAAGCAAGACGAGCCTTAACGTAGTTTCGTTTATTACTTTCCCCTACGTTCGACGTCCTTTGATTCACCTACCCCATCTTCTTCTCCTCCTCCTCCGTCAGCTCTTTCCATCCAACTTTCATCCCCCCTTGCCTTTAATCGTAATTGACGTTCAAAAAACGTTTTTTCATCTCTGCCAATTGCAATCGATAACTCGATTGTCGAAGAGAGCTCGTCGAACAAAGGCTACAAAAATGAAATGCGCGAATAGAAAGAAAGAATGAAAGTGTATGAGAGAGAAAGAGAGAAAGAATAATAGATAAAAAAAAGGGATAGAAATGGTGTTAGAGAGAGAGAGAGAGAGAGAGAGAGAGAAAGTGAGAGTGGTGGTGAGGATAGGAATAAAGTAGGTAATTGTAGGGAAGAAGATGATGAGATTCGAATGCAAGATAAATGGCGAGTATCATGGCCTAAAAAAAATCTATATACATATATGTATGCATATATATATATATATAGATTAACGTTATATCCTTTACAAGAAACATATTCGCTTTTCAAATGATACTAAACCGGTGCTAAAGTTTCATTCACGAGGGATTAGAAATTTAGAAAATGTCTACGTAAGTGCGTGGGTATATGTGTGTGGGTGAAATTCTGAGAGAGAGAGAGAGAGGGAGAGAAAAAGATAGGAAGAGAAAAGGAGAGAGAAGTTTCATATAATATCAAAGGAAACTTATGTTTCTATATTTAAGATTTAAAGATATTATATCCAATCTTTTATTTAATATTAATTAATATAGAAAAAGAGATAAGAAATGAGAAATAGATGATTACATAACGTTTGAAATGTTCCTTAGAAAAGATTAATTAATGTTTTACTATTTGTGCAGTAAAATTGTATTTTCTTTCTTTCTTTCTTTCTCACTCTCTTTCTTTTTCTTACTTTTATTTGAAATCTTTGAATGCTCTCAAACAATTTCCATCAAATGCATCATAATTAATTCATATTACTAAGTTTTTCAATAAATAAAACGTGATACATGATTATTTAATCAAATGAATGTTTAGTATTTATAAAAATATATATCTCTCTCTCTCTTTCTCTTTCTTGTTTTTCTTTTTATTATTTCTAAATTTTAAAATTACGTTTTAAACAATTTATTTATTCATTCGTTGATTCTATCGGATTTATTTCGTGTTTATTTTATTTTTCTCTTGTTCTTTATTTATATTATATGAAATGCGATGAGAAATTAGCATAATAATTCTTTAACGAAGTGATCCAACACAATAAACGATACTAATCACACCAAAAAGAATAAGATTGCAAAGATCAATTTGAAGGGAAAGCAAATCGTTCTAATCTCGTTAAATAATTTCTTCAATGCCGTGCGATTATTGCTCGATCGATATTCGTACAACACGCGATTAGAAGTGTATATAATAATCAGTATGTTTGTAAGAGCGCGTATGTGTTTCTGTGTGTTTGTGTGTAAACATTTATTGGCGCGTAAGCATGTGATAAATCAAAATGTAGCGATATTACATATTTTTACATAATTCTATTTATTATTATTATTATTATTTTTGCTGTTGTTGTTATTATTACTGTTATTAGTTATCACTATAAATTCGCTATATAAAATATACTTTTTTTTACACCTTTAAGGCTGACTAGTGTAAAAAATAATCGCTATATTAATTAATAATCCCTAATAATCCATTCGTATCTTATTTTTCGTTTCTTTAATATTATTTGCTTGTAACATGTATATATATATGTATATATGCATACATTTATTCTCAATTACGTGTATTTATATTTGTATAATATATATGCATATATGCATATGTTAATTTGTTAATAAGTGTATATATTATTATTATTATTGCCATTATTATTATTATTATTATTATTATTATTATTTTAATTATTACTATTATTATTAATATTATTATTATTATTAATACATATTTATTTATATCAATCGTTGTACGTATTTGTATAATATTTCGTATAAATCTCACGTTTAATGAGATGTTTGTAATTACGTTATTTACAAAAGTGTGTGTGTTTCTGTGTATGTGCGAGAGAAATAGTAGTGAAAAAAAGTAATTGGGGCGGAGTCAAAAGTTTCGTTCGTATTTTAATGGAAAAGTGAACCCCCAATCAAGATTTTCTTGTTTTCTTTTTACACACACATTTCGTATCAAGTATTCTAAAAAAAATAAATGGTTTAAAAAATTGTTTTTATGCTCGATATTTAGTTCCTTATCGATTATCATAACTGCTTAATAACACGTGCCGTGTTTTGATCAAATTTTTTTTCCGTCATTTCATTAACTTTCGAGGTCGATCAGACCAGAACTTTTGTATCGTTGACATTTTAATTTTCAGACTGAAAACGCACGAAACCAGCTTTATCATCCAGTGTAGCACCTATACTGATCTACATCGCATCGTGTTCATTAAAAATCATAAATTTTTTTTTTTATCAGCCTTACTGACATTCTTCCCTTGTTTTTTTTTTTATTGTTTTTTTGTAATTAAATTTCCAAACGTATCGAATGAACAAAAGATATATATATATATATATATATCGAAACTTTTTGTTTATAATTGTACTCTACGACGTATTAAATTTTAAATGCAATCGAGCGTTGCCAGATCCGATTAGTATTTGTCATAGTTATGCGATTCCTATAACTTACGAAAAATACGAAGAAACTTTTTCACCGAACCCCTCACTTCCCCAAAATATATAACATAAATGTATTATTCGTCGTCGATCACAGAAGAGAACTGATTAATGATGCAATAAAGTAAATATTATAACGGCTTTTTAAAGACGTTCCTTAGGTAGGTGTATAAATAAAAATTAAATTTTAAAAAAAGGAAAAAAAAATAAACAACAACCCAAAAAAAAGAGATGACAAGCGAAATCATGCATGTTGTTTTAAAAACACGTAAAAACACGAACAAGTCCTTCGTAAGATCGTGATCAAACTTTTTTTTTCTATTAATTTATTATTATCTTAACTATAATGTAGAAATATTTGTAATATAAATGATTCGTGAATTAATCGTTTCTTTAATTATCATTATTATTATTATTATTATTATTATTATTATTATTATTATTATTAAAAATTTTGTCTAGAAGTAATATTTTGGCCTCTTACGATTTAATTTAATTAATTTAATTAATAATGTGTGTTGCATAAACATACCTTCGAAAATAAAATCGTTTTTGTCGTAATATTGTTTCTAATGTAAATCGTGTACTCGAATTAAAATATGTGCTCCTGTATATATATATATGTATATTTGAGTGAACGAACGAACGAACGAATGAATGAATGAATGAATGAGTGAGTGATAAAAAAAGAAAAAAGGGAAAGGAAAATACGTTAGTCGCGTTATTTGAAATTGACTGTAAATACACCGCGTGATGCGATAAGTATGAAAATTATCGTCTATGTAATTAAAAAAGAAAGAGAAAAAAAGAAAATAAAAAACAATTAAAAGGAAAGAAAATAATATAAAATAAAAGAAAAACCAAGAGGGAAGAAAGAAGAAAAAAGGCAAGGATAACAAAAAAAAAATAAAACAAAAAATAATAAAAAAAGAGATTAATCTCGATTGGTTGATCGTATACGAGCAATATATATATACATATATCGATATTAAAAAAAAAAAAAGAAAAAAATACTCGAAAGTTGACAGTGATTACTCGCTTAATCGATGTTCAAACTTATATAATAATTTATTAGGTAAATAAATATTTGTTGACATATATTATATTATTTATTTATATAATTTTATTCGCGAATATTCCTAACGCTCGTTCATTTGCAATCATTGTAACTGTGATATATGTATGTTTGTGAAGATGTGTTGTACATATATCAATCAGTTGAACGCGCGTTGCATTAGTCGCATTGAAGAGAAAGAGAAAAAGTGAGAATGAGTGAGAGAGAAAGAGGGACTCGTAAAAGGAAGGAGCGTGGAGAGTTTTATGATCTCTTTAAAAGAAGAGTGCAGTTATACTATATCGGTTTAAACATTGCTCTGGGGCACATATGCGTTGGCATAATACAACGCCCGTTTGACAGCATTAGGATGACTACTTGCTGACCGTGAAACCAGACGAGTTCAATGTACAGACCTGTCGGTTATTATATATATACACACATTCTACTATTATATATTTTATTAGATATGTTATATATTTATTTATTCCTTTTTTCTGTTACTTTATTGTTATTATTATTATTATTATTATTATTATTATTATTATTATTATTATTATTATTATTATTATTATTATTATTATTATTATTATATCGATATGTATCATCTAAAAAAAAATATGTGTATGATGTGTCTCTTTTAATACATCAAATGCATAATAAATGTTTTTAAACTTATTATTTTCCTTTAAAAAACAATGCTAAAACAAATATTATGAAACATATTTTATTCTACGTTATCGACCAAGTTAAATTTTTCACGCATAATTATTCACTGTTTAGTTTGTATTATCGTCATTTACAGATATCTTGTATATTATATAGAAATTATACCAATGTGTGTCATCACTCATAATTTTGTTTTCGTATGAAGTTATCCTAATGCGTTTAGAAAATATAATAGGAATATGTCTAAACGAAAAAAAAAGAAGAAAAAAAAATTAGAGAACAAAGTACAACAACAATTATTTCACAAACGTCGTATAAGTTTACATAATATTTTCAGTATTATTTTTAAAACATTCTCATTTCAAAACGAATCGCATCGATTAAAAAAAAATGGAAATCTAATATAAAAAAGCAAGAAAAGTAATTGCTGCTAACTTCGAAGAAAATAAAAAAAAAAGAATAAAGTATTAACATTTTCTGGTTGAAACAAAAAAAAAAGAAAATAAAGAAAAAAACACTTCTACACGTTTAATCGCAAAACGAGTCGTATTGTCAACGCCGCATAATTACTACGTAAGAAAGTATTCAACTAACTATATGATGTTACGTATTAAAAGACGTAACAAAAATATACAGAATAAAAAAGAAAAAAAAATGCGCGTGTACACAGATAAAAATAAAATCAAATAAAATAAATATTATAGTAAATCGATCTACGTGAACATTTTGTCGAATAATAATTGAATGAATAAAACAATGTGTGATATAAATTATTATTCGCGAGAGAAATGAAACTTGGCAATAAAATCAAAAAGAGAGAAAGAGAAAGAGAGATACATTCACAGGGGTTCTAACAAAGAGAGGATAGATAGATAGATAAATAAGTGGATAGATAAATTGATAAATAGAGAACCACACAGTGATAGTCAGTGTACGAGAGATAGTAAGAGTGAGTGAGAGAGAGAAAGAGAAAATAGTTAAATCGGACTGAAACTTGGGTGTGATGATATCGGATATGACCATTGTGTGTAAAGATAAATGACACACAACTTACATATACATACGTACACACACATATATACAAATATATATATATAACATATGAATGTATATTCAACGATCCGTAAAGTCATGTACCTCGACGAGGGACGTAGTAGAAGGAAACGAATTATATGTCGGAGGATCATTCGCGCGAATAAATCCACGTTAACAATTACGTCCTTCGATATA